ACAGGTTTGGGTCCCTTAAAAATCCCCCCCTTTCCTAGAAAAGAAATTTTCCTGTTAATTGTAAGTCCAGATTTGTAAAAATCATAGCCCCCTGTCTTGAGGTGAGGAATATATAGAATCTTACAAAACATTTTGAGGAACAGCAGAAACTAAAAAAATCATATGATAATACAGGCATTCCTCATGTGGTGTAAGTTCAGGTTTATTCATCTCATGACTCCTGGGGCTTGAATGGACCCACAGTATGGGTTTAAAGTAAATGTAGCAGGAAAAAATTGAAGAAGAAATCTTCCCAGCAATAGTAAGATTCAAATATATAGTCAGAATACTTTACAAGTATCTCAATACAGTGTAGAAATTCTTTTCCTTCAAAGCATGTCACCTGTGGCTTTATAAATGTGATTTTTTTTTTTAAAATGTCATATCAAGGACTTCAGGACTAAGTTGTTCATCATTATATATAAGAATCTTGGTAACATAAACGATAATTCAAATCATTATTCCGGACTAGGGTGGAGGCATATATATGGCAGAACATCAAGATCATATAATCAAATTAATGTACGAATAAGGTTCTACAAATGTGTACAACAAAGTTTTCTCAAACCATGCCCCCAGGGACTAAGATTGGGAATCAATTCGGTCAGAGATGTGTATTGGAATAGCAAAAATCTTTTTGAAAGGGTTATCTAAAGTAAAAGAGGATAATAAGTGAACAAACAGTAAAGCTAATGCATTTTCATGTGGTGCAATTCGAGATTTGTTGAATGAAAAATAAAATTATGGCCCCCAGAGCAAGGACGGGACCACATTAAAAGGATTAAAAAAAGGCATAGGCTTAGGGTATGTGGGTTGAGGCAACTATTTCGTTAAAAAGAATTTTACAGAATTATACAGAAATCCCAAACCAATAAAAATATGTAATTTTGTAAAGTTGACATGCATAAAGCCTCAGTATACTGAAAATTAAAACTGTTAAAATCACATGCTTTAATTTGGGGCTCGATCTATTTATATGTACAAATTCACTTGTGAGGAATTAAAGAATAATTTATTCAGGTGAGCGCTGTGGCACATAGACATCTAGGTGTTAACTAATATAATTAGATCCTTCACGAAGCAACGTGGGTTTGATACATCTCAAACCGATTAATGTCATTATTTTTAACATTTGAACTTCTTACCACAAAGGATAAATAACGCGCAGCGAACCTTATAATTTGACATCGTTTCTTTGTCTCCAAATAGATTGTTTAATTAGCATGGTATATTGTATCCGTTTTGTTTAATTACAATTAACGTAGTTCGTCAGTGGTAACCGGATTTATCATCTGCTGGATGTCTATGTAAGTTTTAAGAAACTTTTAAAATTGTAAACTTCACAAACTGCAAGCTAGATTTAAAAAAAATAGTACAAATCATAAATTTGCATTATCCTTTCCTTCTTTTCATTAGATCTAGATTGGAATGAATTTCTTTCATTTCAGTGTAAGTAAATAAAATTTGTTCATAATTTGGTCATAATTTCTTGTTACAACGTTTGTTGTTTCCAATTTCCTATTTATACAGAACTGAATAATATTTTTTTTAATATTCGAAGACATTTAAATCTTTTTGAGGTGACAAATTTTGAGTAAGTTAAGATGCTTACAATTATGTATTAATTTTCATGCAAAAAGGAAAATTTGACAAAACTATGCCTGTTATTCTTTGTAATATTTGATTTATAGTTTTCAAATTCCTGTTAATCTTTTGTATTATTTGATTTGTAGTACCTACAATTGATGTCAATGTTTTCTTGTTTCACAGTAACTTTGTTTTTGCATACTTTAATTGAAGTTTTCTTAACTATGTGTAACACGTTTTATTTTTGTTAACATACACTTAATACGTAAAAAGTGACTGGCTTATGTTGTCAACTTATTCCAATTACACATATTATGCAGAAAAGATGGTATAAGGAGCAGTAAAATCATTTCTCATGATCATGTGTACGGATGTAGGTGTTGTAAGCTCCATCTAAAATTCTCAAAGTGTAGAAAGCCTTGTAAAGAAAAATTACGTAGAATATGCTCTTAGGTATCGAATTGACTGAAAAACGTAAGCACCATACGCAGGTAATGGTATTATGCATGATAAAAAAGGATGTTGACAATAGCTTCTCCTTTTCATATAGAAAGATTTGAATAAAAATTCGCTTCATAAAAATACAAAAACAGGTCTACTAAATAAAGGGGCAAAATAAGTGCCCATACGAATTCGAACATATTCTTGAAAGACCTGCTCTCACAAGACCAAAAACTATATATATAGATATCATAAATGAGGAAGTCAAGCATCTTTTTAAAATAAATTTCAAGAGTGTGTGTACATCAATTTTGTATAGATGGCACATTGATTTTTTTTTTGAACGCAAGTCTGCAGTATTTTTGCCATACATCGGAGACGCCAATCACAAAATATATATGGCTATTTCAAAGTTCCTTTCCCCTAAAACATTCTGAATTACTTAAATGTTATAGAAAGTAATTTTAGGGATAAAATTGACCGTGCAGTAGATATGATGCCCATTTATGTCCTCGTATGTTGAGAAATATGTTCTACATTGAAAAAATACGCACAATTCTTGGAACACAATATTTTCTTTTTTAAAGCAAAAATAGTAAGGTGAATGTTTTATTTTAGTTTTACATATGTAGACATCTATGAAGACATTTTTAACCTATGATCAGACGTAAGAATGTCATTTGTCTGTTTGATGTTTTTTTTTTTCATTATAGCATTATTAAAAAATAATTATAAATGAAAATTGTTAAAAAGAACCTGCATAATCATTCATTAATTTGCAATATATCAACATGGAACAATTCCATGAATAGTATTTGCAAGTACATTTGAAAATTTGCAAGATATGTGTTTACAAATTCTAATTTGATTGAAAATATTCACATCTTATTATTTATTTAAATATATTGACGCCAAATAGAAAATTTTCAGAGTTTATTTCTTATCAAAACTAAAAGTGTTCTGCAGATAATTGATAGGTTGTACATGAATAGATCGAATGTCAGAGCCAAATTTACTCTTCTTGGCCCGAAAAGTGTTTATTATCTAGACAGGTCAATTAATCAAAAATTGATTGTTCCTAAAATTAAAACAGTTGAAATGAAAATCAAATAAATGGATGAATTTATAGACAATTTGTATTTTTCGTCAAAAAGTATGTTCAATACCATTTATTTTCACATATAGATCTAGGTCAATCTAGGTTGACTCGGAATTTTTAATTAATAGATTGTTTAAATAAAAACAAAGAAGCAAAAAGAGAAAAGGGCCCTCAATACAAATATGCAATGTCGACCTTTGTTTTTTAATTCTCATAATATTTGGGAGTTTGATTTTTGTCAGAATACCAAATAATTCATGACGAAAAATCAAATATACATGTATTCACTAAGATTTGAAGAGTGTCAGAACAACTGCATTCGATAGTTCCTGAAACTTAAAGGAAAGCAAATAAAAACTGTGCGTTTAATTATGTATACAATGTATTAATAATCAAGGCAGACAAATTACACAGTTATCATGATAAACATCATAATGTAAACTTCAGTGTCATCATTAATTTATATGCCACATTAAGAGCCCAAGTACCTCACTGTTTTAAATCATGTAGTTATTTATTTCCTTCTACCAACCGAAATGACCACAAAAAAGTTATCTGTCTTTTGTACACAATCTAGAAATATTTAAAAAAAAATTAAGTTCGTAATTTCATTCTACAGTTGTTTTTCATGGATCATATAATTCGCTTACAAATTACAATTTATTATTATTTTTTTAATTTAAATGAATTGTTTCACGTACAGAAAATTTACAGGATCTAGCATGACTGTTTTCTTCTTATGACAAATGACTACTTTTAATAGAAAACTCCCCCCAAAAACACAAATCTGCAGCACTGCCACTCAAAATAAATCTTAATTAGCTTTAGGGTACTGTTATGAAAATAAGATTTGCATACTATTAAAAGCGTATTTAAAAAATTATTGGATGACTAGGCTAGAAATTGACGATAGACAAAACCACGCATTTGGACAAAGGTATATGACATATTGTGGTTTCTTTAATTAAATCATCTGTGTTTGTCTAAGTTTGGTAGACCGCAAACTGAAGGGACAACATGGAAATCTACACTTCCATTATTAAAACAAGGTGTTTGCAATCAATAATAAAAGAATGATTGGAATATAACGTGCTAATGTAATGTGCATTCATAATTTATTAATATACATTGTATTAATTTTAATTTAGTAAGGATGCCGTTCATATCTTTGGGATGTAAAATCTTGCTTGGAATAATTTCCATACGTATTGCATACTAATATTACATGGCGTCAGTACTACTTAAGTGTACTTTACAATAAAGATAGATAAAAATATACATGTACACCTATAAACTATTTACATATCGCAAATTAACATTTAAAATTTTTGTGATCTATTTTTTTTTTCAAGTTCATACTGTTAGTATCTCTGACAATTAAATTTTTTGAAAAACGTGAAGACTTCAACCTTTTTTTCAATCGTGAACTTCCCTTATTTATGCAGCAATACACAATTATCACCAGTCTATGGGGTTTTTGTATTCCAGTTGATTCGATACGCAAGAACATGTTCTAAGTACAAACAATATCTAGACAGGCTATAGCCAAATAAAGTTGATAATACATGGATATCAACAATCTGACTCGTTTAAGGAATTAAACAATTTATAAATCAGGACAGCTACTGACAAATAAAGTTTATGATACAAAGATATCAACAATCTCGTTAAAGACAACCTGTCGCAAATTCTGTGGTTGATATAATTAATTACCTTGCTTGCAAATACAGTATATCATTAGGTCTAATGTTGACTGTCGTCTTTCATGCAGATTTTTAAGCCATTATTATAACACTGAATTCACCGCAGATTTTTCCATTTACCCGATCAATTACAAGGGGCACACAGTGGTCGTCACCGGTAGACAGGGGATGCGCTGTCCTCCATGACACCTGATCCCACCTCTGGTTTTAGAGGTACGTGTTTGCTCTGGCCATAATTTGTATTGTTTAATTGGGCTTCTGTTCATTATCTTCACATTTCACAAAATTCAATCAGTCTATCAAATTTAAATCATCCTTTCGACAAATGAGACGGACTACTGTGTGTGTACTTAAAAAAGCGGGCTTTATATTTTAGCGGTTTTGGCGCGGAAATTAATGCGCTAATTCATAAAATACCTCTAAGATATCATAAATAAATATAATATACGGCGCGGAAGTGTGTAGCTCTAACTCATGAATACGCCAGCAACTCAATACCCAGTGATTGCGCATAATTTGAATACGCCAATTTATGTACACGAACAGTATTTTACCCTGAACTCTTCATTTTCTCGTGCAATCTTTGTTCTTCTTCGTGTTATACATCGTTTGCACACCATTTTGATATGGGCTTATATTTGTTATATGGATGTATAATACATTTTAAAAACTTCTAATGCAATGCATAGAATACCTGGCATACCAGTTTTACCATAAAAGGATGTTAAAATTATTTTGAATAGGAGATGTACGTTCCAGTGAAAAAATGGTTCATTATACTTGTATGCGTTCTTCGTATTAATAAGATTGTATTTACAAAACATTCAGATATAGTTTCATGAAAGGTACTTAAGATATTGTGTCAATCAAATTTCAAAGTGCGATTTTTTTAATTTATGAAGGCAACTCCATTCACAATTTTTACCATTCTGCTCTTAATTGTTAATCAGAGTTCAATTGCTAAATATATGTATAGAATGAATTTAAAAAAAAAAATAGATAAATTGTAAAAATATACTGACTGTGGTTATACTAGGACTGGGTCATGCACATTTTGACTTCCAAAAAAATATTTCGTAGACTTTCTGGATGAAAAGGGTGAACATAACGAGCAGTAATCGATCTTAAAAATCCACAAACCACACATATATGTAAACAGGGCATAAAACATGGACCCCGGATATTCCAAAGGTGGGATCAAATGCCCAGGAGGAGTGTAAGCAAAACCTGTCGACCGGTCATACCTGCCATGAGCCCTAAGTATTGATCAGGTAGGCAGAATTTCAGTATAAAAGCAAAGACCTAACAATTGATATGAAAAACGTCAGCCAAAAACACGACTCAATGGTAAGTTACATTTGCTAACAAGGTCATTATAACGACCATAGAATTTCAGAAATGCTGACTTTAAACGAGGAAGTTGAAATTCCTGTAATTTAAACTTATCTGTCAGTAGCCTTCCTCGGTTTCAAAATTGATCGTATTCAGAGCATGCTCTTGCGTATCGAATAAGATCCCATATACAAGAGATAGTGGAATGTTACTACATAAATACATGTACTACATAAATAGGGAAAGTTGACGGTAGAAAACTGAAGTTTAGTTAACAGTTGGCCCTTGTCTTCTATTGTCAGTAAAACATGCAAATATGAAACATATGTGGCAGACTTTGTGGTGTCTTTTATTTCGAGTTCACAAGGAAAAAGTTTTCATAATGCCTATAGAGACATTTGTATCATATATAAGTCTTAATAAGCTTTCTTATTTTTCCCTGTTGTTTTAGTCATTCAGAAAACCCCCTCTGACTCACCTCGAGGATTTTATCAAAATAGCATTTATTAATATGTAAAAATGTATATTTCTTACAATTCCCGGAAATTTAAAATGTTTGAGGTATGTCAGGCTTTACTATAATGCTAGTTACTAATAATATGTTAAACATCTAATTTGCCAGAATAATAATTGAATTCCATAATGTTATGTTGTCTAATCATCGATGCCAAGTAGACGTAAAAAGAAACGTCATGTAAGCACCTGTTCTGTGCATAAATGCAGAAATGAGTTTCATTCAAATTTGATTAATGTATTCAAATTAAATAGTTTATATAGAACAACTTTTCCTTCAGAAAATAAAATCCGAATCACATATACGTAAGGTAATAATATTTCTTTTTTCGGACTTCTTCAATCCTCTTTTTTTTTTAAATATTTTTTTTGTTTGAAGCAGCAAAAATGGCATCCAATTTATCATTTCTTCTTTCTTTCAGTTTCTGGGGTTGGACTATACTAAATTTTTAAGGCAATTTCGTAATAATATAATTATACTCAAAAATTGCTCTACAAATAGCTAGCATTTCTCAAAAAAGTACTTTTCTGAATTAATATCATTTTCATATATTTCAAACATAATCATGTGTATACAAAACTATATTATGAGAGGGATAGAAGAAATTTTTTCAAAAAAAAAAAAAATGCTGAAACATTAATTAGCATTTTATTTTCTGTAACCTTTACATCACCATCAACAATTAAAAAACATCTCAATTTGCAGTTGTAGAGTTACCATCAGACCAAGAAAGATGATTTTCGTTACATTATGTTTCCAGCTTTTTGTGATATCGGGATGTGTTAATATATCCGTCATAGAAGATCTATATAACGTCATTAAAAGCCAGTCTGAATATGAAAACTTAAGTAAGTGAATTACTTTAATTTCAAAATGAATATTTATAACGGAAAACTATATTTATCACATTAGCGATTACAAATTTTGTACCAAAAGTATTATTCAATGCATAAATTCTTTTAATGGAAATCTTGTTCATTTAACCTTGAATTGTCAGCAGGCAAGTCATATGATTGATTTTAGAGAGAATAATTATGTTATAAAATATATATGTCTTGACACCTTGGTCTCACATTAATATGGTTTGTTGGTCAGATATTAAAAAGTCTTTGTCTTAATTTTGAAATTCAGCAGGCAATCAGTGTACATGAATATAATGAGCAGTTAGCTTTTAGCCAGAGTATAACACATGTCTCTGAGGTCATAATTCAGGTTCGACGACTGAACTGAATTACATCTATTCTGAAATTTACTTTCCACTAGTCTATCTTTATTTCATGATATTTAGTTAACAGACTCAGTACACAATGGCAATGATCTTGAAATATTGAAAGTTCACGTCTTTAACGTAATACCTAGGAGATTATCCATAGGTTAACATACGATCCTTAATATCTTCTCTGTGTTATCTAATAAACAAAAGCAATTTGTTATGGTTAAGGTTGGAATTTTCTAAAAGTGAGTCAAACCGAAAGGTCAAGGTCAAAATTAATGATACGCAGGGGAATCCTTCCTCGTAAGAAATACATATGCAAAATTTAAAAGCCCTAGCACCAACTGTTCAAAAGTTATGGCGAAGGTTAAAGTTTTTCAAAAGTAGGTCAAAATCCGAGGTCAAGGCCAAAAGGTCAAAATTAATAGTACGCAGAGGAATCCCTTGTCATAAGAAATACACAAGCGAAATATACATTTAAAAGCCCTACATGTAGCACCAACTTTTCAAATGTTATGGCCAAGGTTAAAGGTTTTCTTAAAACATGGGTCAAACTCTAAGATCAAGGTCACAAGGTCAAAAATAATTATTCCCATGGAAAGGTCTTTTCACAATGAATATACATGTGAAATATGAAAGCCCTGGCACCAATTCTTTACAAGTTATGGCCAAGGTTAAATTTTTTTTTTCCAAAACGGGTCAAACTTTAAGTTCAAGGTCAAGAGGTCAAATACCTTGGTACACAGAGGAAGGGTCTAGTAACAAGAAATAAACATGTGAAATATGAAAGCCATAGCTTCAACGAATCAACGGGCAAGGTTAAAATTTTTGCAGACAAACAGACGGACTGCCAGGGCAAAAACTATATACCCCTGAATCTTCGGGGCATAATATAAGTTCTCTGCTAATAGGTTTGGCTATACTTTCATATTTGGATTTCCCATTAGACCTCTCATTATTGAATCAATACAGAAAGAGTTTCATTCCTTTATTGTTTCAATTTTAGCTGTTTTTGAATTGAAGACATCCACAGATTTCAATGATGAAAATCCTTTACCAAGCAGTATGTTTCCTACCTTGTTCGAGACCCGGAAGTATAACTTCATTCATGACGTCATTGAGGAGATTGCCTACGAGTATTTATCATTTTATAGTTTTACAATTCATGACTTGATAGTTCTCCATTACACGAGCTTGATAAACATGGTTTCTAAAGTTAAATTCACTCACCATGTATGCAGACTATTGTGCAATGTTTATTTACAATCCAATGCATTTCATCTTAAGATGATCTTTTTATTCGTTGTCCTTTAAATTCTTTCATGATCTATTGGAATGATGACTAAACGTCTCAACATTATGCAAAGATTAATTTTTCAAACAAGTATTTACAAGTACATGAGCAACTTTTAATTGAATATAAATGTTTTCCTTCACTGTCATTACAAAATTTGACATATATGACATTTATCAATATTATGAATATAACACAATTTATTCAGACCTCGGGTTCGAACAAAGCATTTCTTAGATATGTGCTTTATGGCACGCCGATCGCATTATATCAACTTAAATGATAGCATTTATGAATTCAACGATAGAAAATATAAATATTGATAACAATTTTCAAACAAAAATGTGATTTATATTTTTATTCAATTTTAGAGTGAACACAACATCATCAGCCTTGCTTGAAAACGACGAGTTCCTAATACCGTTGCATTTAAAGTTTACAGAGAAGGATTGTGAACTGGGTCCATCTCATGGACAATGTAGCGATGACCAATACCGATCATTGGACGGTTCCTGTAATAATATGGTGTTCCCCACTTGGGGCATGTCTGGACAGGTTCTGCGACGCTATCTCTCCCCAGGGTATCATGATGGTCAGTCAGTGTTACATGTATCTCTTCTCTGATTGGACAAACTTGTTATCTTTTCTGATTGGATAGCAATGATCATGACAAACATATCAAACAAGATGAAAAAAATTCATCTAAATATCAAATTAAAAGACTTTTTTTCAGCATTGTTTATAAACAAAACAAAAACTCTTTAAGTGGAACAAAATCACAGTCTTGTTAAAATGTTTATTAATGCAATTTCACATAATTATCAAAAAATGTTAAATGTCATAGAACTCAAATTTTCACTAATAATCTCGACCACGTTTTGAAGTCTTTCTTTGTATTTGAATTAAGGGGTTGAAATGCCAATATCCTTAGACATCACGGGAGAACCACTTCCCAGTGCAAGGGAAATAAGTAAATTATTACATAGACAAAGTGACGTCATGGACATGAACATAGTTCTATCTGCTATGGTCATGCAGTGGGGACAATTTTTGGAGCATGATATTTTATCTGTACCTGCTTACAGAGGTAAATCATATCTCATAGCAGCTATTTTCGAAAATTATTTGCTGCTTTAAAGAATTGATCATAAATTCCTTTAAAATATGACAATAAATTAATGTTTTCTTAAAAAACTTAAATAAATATAGCCAAAATTATTTATTTAACGGAATGTGATATGATAAACATGTATGTAAAAATTCATAGTTTTTTCCTAAAAATTCAGAATGACTTAGTACGTATTATTAGCAGGCTACATGTATTTGGTTGACATTTTTAGACAAACATGGCCAAGCTTTGGATTGCTGTGGAAGAGATAAGAACGAGTAAGAATAATCGTTCGAAGTCTTGTTATCTTGTTTATCAGAATTGCTGTTGTAATCTTTATTTAAAATCAGCATTATTCATAAAAGAATTAAAATTTCTAATTTATATTATTTCAGTCATGAATGTTTCTCAATAAACGTTCCCCAAAACGACCCATTCTTCAACACCCGATGCATTCCGATGGTACGTTCGGCACCAGGAGTTGGACCAATGTGTTACACCAGTGAGTACAATCTTTCAAATGTAAGGACGACATTTTCCCCGGCTCCTTCTTATCCTATATATATATATATATATATATATATATATATATATATATATATATATATATATATATACCGTCATTTGCTCGTTAATATTAGCTCTATAAAATATGCGTTTTTTTAAAATCTCTATTATAATTAGATGCTTGCACTAAAGGTTGCCTATTAGGTAAATATCAACTCATCATTCTAGAACTATTACTTTATTTTCAACGGATCCTTTCATTATATTTCCCTCATATATTTGAATTAAGTTTTTTTTTTTTTAAAAAAATATTGATCATTAATTTTTTATGAATTAAACCATCTTATATCTTTATTGGTATACTTTGTAATAAAAACCATTTCAGCAAAAAGAGAACAACTGAACCTGGCTACAGCTTTCATCGACGGTTCTCACATTTATGGTACAAATACCGAGACACTGAGACAAATAGTTGATGCCAACACTGGTAAGAGATTATTTCTACAATCCTCACCTCTGAAATGGAAAGATTGATTTTACCACCTTGCATTACATTTCTAACTAGAGATAAAAAGTATGATAAATGATAAAATTGCACTTTAAATTTGTCTCTACACTAAAAGCATAGACGTTACATGCATTCATTTTAATGCTTTACTTTACAATTACATGAAGAAATGGGTGGGCATCGTATAAAAATGAACATCGTCTGAGGAAAAAAGTAAAATTGATCCCTAGTATGTAATACGTGGTATGAGAAATATTTCGTAAAACGAGAAATATTTCCGAATCTAATGAAATATTGTTAAATGAAACTTTTATTTTTCGAGTTCCTTTTTTTCCTCGAAAGAGACAAATTGATGGAAAAGAAGACTATGTGAAATGTAGGAGGTTATACATGTATCTGAAACCTAGGATCAGAATAGAGGAAATTAAAATGTCCATTAAGGCAAAACTCTGACGGTATCGTGATGAGAATCGTATATCAATTGCAGACTCTAATCAGGCTTTATCAAATTAATGTCTGAGTGAAAAAAAATTCCATAATCCATAACTGCTATTTTAATAACAGAACGGGATTCGGCAAAAGGCTTAGTAGATAATTATACTTAATGGTTATGTTCTGTTTTGAATGTTTGATAAACTTTTAGAAGGGATGTTCTTTTGTTGGAGCACACTTTCCTCTTTGAATATATTCATTAATATGGTTCGTGAAAGGAGTGTTTACATACATTTAAAATACAGGGATTTGATTTTAAATTAAAATGACCTTTTTTCAGCTAATGGCTTTATTTGCTGATATCCTTAATTTCTTTTTTAGTTACTGTAATACCGTTATAGAGCGTTCTTTTTCTTCATAGTACTGGAGAAACCCTGACAAAAATTTATTAAAATTAACTAAAATTTACTATAGTCAACTATAGTTAACTATAGGAAATACTTTGAAACTTTGATTTACTATGAAACTTTGATTTAGATCTTGTTTGAGATTTTAAAGTTAAAAATCTCTTATATCCTATACTAATGATAAATTTGTGAAAAATATGCTAATATTCAAGTAATATTTTCATTTACGGTAAAAAAAAAAAAAAAAATGCATGTATGAATTACAGAACATAAAATTTAAACCTAGAATCCATAGAAAAAATGCTTTGATTCACTTTAGTGAAAAGTTTGATTTACTATAGTAAAAACTTTGATAATATAGTTAACTATAGTCAACTATAGTTAATTATAGTATATTTTTGATAGGGAAGATGTAAAATGATGAAGATGAAAGTGATTTAAATGAATATTTTTTTTCCCACAGGAAAACTAAAAGTAAATGGTAACAATATGATTCCAGCTGCCGACCCTGCCATAGAAAATTGTATTCTGGAGAAGAGTTTTGACTACTGTCCGAAATTAGGTAAAGTGTTTAAAAAACTGGCAGAAATGCATGTATATCGTTTACAAATCTAGAAACATGTTTATCTTATTGGAAACAAACTTCTTTGCATAATTTTGAGAGCAAATGGCCGAACAGAGTTTACAGCTTTGTTAGGTAAAATCGTAAGTGACAGTGTCAATGTTGAAATATTTCCTTTTTCCCTTTTTTTTTTTTTTGGGGGGGGGGGATGTAACTATTTGATCCCATTTGTTTGCCCCTTATGCCAAAAAATAAATTAATGTAATCCACAGGAACAAGAAAAGCAATTACCAAAAAACCTAAAAATTAAATTGAATTTCAACTGCATAAAGTTTTTAAATTCAACGTATATCTACACTTTAAGAACTTTATGCAAAATATTTGAAGAAGCATCGCTCAGAATTCATTTCAGGGATTTTAATCTTAGTTCATCAACCCTGTTACAGTGATACCAGTACATTGTATATGATTTAATTCACAAGGTGCATAGATATTTCGTCAAAGTCGGGAATCAAGTTATTTTTTGTTTCATGGCCAAAATAAAAAAAAAATTGATATCATAGAAAAAATTAAAATAATGATCGACTCATTATTTCTGAGTCATGACCAATATTTAAGGGAAAAAGAACAAATGTGATAAATCAAGCGATAATTCCTGTAAATGTTCAGAAAAAACCCTGACCTACCATCTCAAATGGTTTTTGAAATGCGTCATTTTTTTTAAAGATAAAGCTTAACGCTTCTACTATTCAACACACATGCACGTTTGTCTCATGTTGTCAATCACTATCCAAATAGTTTTTTTTATATATTTTTCCCTCCTTGTTAATTTCAGAATCAGATAGAGATTTCATAAAACCGTTGACAACTGTTTCCATTAAAATATGCCTGTATTGAAAGTAAATGAAAAAATGGGAAAAAATTATATCCTCAAGAAATGCGGTTTTTATTTTAAAAAATGGATATTCTCTGAGTGATTTAAAACAGAAAATAAACTCTATATATTATTTTTTTTATTTAGAACTATGCATCAGTTGTACTTCTTTTTTTAGAATATGACCTGTTTACATATTTTCTTTCCCAAGGTTTTTTTCCATGCAAGACATCATTGATTTGCAATCAATCTGGCCCATGGAACTTTTTTCTGAGTATAGTATTTTGCTATAGTAAATTTTCTTTTAGATGCTGGTTGCCCCCCCCCCCCCCCAACATTTTGATGTAGGGTCGAGCACTGGCAAATTCCAGGATTTGCACAGTAAATCCGCTTCTTTTTTTGCCTTCAGATAGATTTGGGAAGTTGTTCCCCCTTCTACTTTTGTATGTTTGATCAGTACTGGTTTTTGTTTTATTTGCTTGTCAGATTTTTTGGGGTAACCCCCCCTCCCCCCACCTTTGAAACTGTTGATACTTGCCTAGCTGTTAATTCACTAGGAATCAAAACGAAAACCATTGAAAAATGTTTCATATCCGGATTTTCTTCCCATGTTATATATTTATTTCTTATCACATAAAAAATGGACTGGATTATAAACAACATTCCATATCACAAGATATGTAGATTAGATTAAAACTCATAAATGTGTGATTTGTTTTTTATAAATAAAGCGAGAATAGATGAATTTCATATTTTGCAGGTGACGATAGAATTAATCGAAGCCCAGCCCTCACATCAATGTATACATTGTTTGTTAGGGAGCACAACCGTCTTGTCGACAAATTACAATGCAGAAACCCTCACTGGCTTCCAGAGTTTGTCTTCCAGGAGGCGAGGAAGATCATAGTAGCCCTGATACAACAGATTACCTACACAGAGTATCTTCCAGTTATTCTAGGAAAGGAGGGCATGTGGAAATATGGTTTGACCATCAATATTGACGGTTATGACTATTCTGCATATAATCCAAACGTGAATGCTGGAATCGCTAACAGTTTTTCTTCTGCAGCTATTAAATTTATCCACACCCAAATGCCAGATATGCTTGGTTTTTACGATAACCAAACGCAATACGTAGATTTAGAGAAAACATTTCACAGACCCTGGTACGCGCAACAAGATGGCGGCAGAGGCATGGAAGAGATAATGAAATGGCTGGTTAATGATGCTCAACCGGAAACCAATAGGTCATTTTCCTTTGTTATCTTGCCATTAAAAACATCCCTTAAATCCATGTTTACCACTCATAATGCTCTCGAGAAACAATAGCTATGGGGGAGGACTAACTACCAATAATTCTACAATCTGACAGGATTCATTCGTAGTAAATCACTGGCTTGTTAGACTATCCAGCCAAAGTATTTTTCCCTGACATTGTATGATTGTATATCCAAACACATTAACGAGTTAGTCATGTTACCTCTGAAATAATCAAAGTACATTTCGGAGGCGACGTCATTTTACTAATGTTTCCGCCACAACCTTGTTCATTGTTAAAGTATAATAAATCATTAGCTTCAATTATTTTACACAATGCCACCACAAATGGTTTTACGATTACCTTTTTCAGCTGGAGGGAGCAGTTGGTTTTGATTAACGACCTTTTGATCCAATTGAGTATAGAGAAAGTTCCATAAGTTAATATTTTTTACCATATACTAAGATTATTCGAAATTAAGACTTACAATTTTCTAAAAAGAAATGCCAGGGTTTTTGAGCTTATACATGTATGCCTTAAGTCGAAAGGAATTTCTATATCCCATAATCAAACACAAAATGCTTCCTGAGATTGCATGATATTTTTTTTAATTACCGAATCTGAACTTTTGAAAAAAGAGAATGATAGCTGAAAACCCTTCTAAAGGAATCCAAAGTGCAGGGATCAGAGTCCTTAAGAGAATAGAAGCGCAAATCGTCATTAAATATTAGTGCATGTACAAATAAAAATATTCCATTTACTCTATTTCAATCAACCCTTCCAATGCTAATTATTCTTATTCCACCACGTTTCTACATTAGACCTTATTTCGCCATGTTTCTACATTAAGCCTACTAGTTCCAAAATTATTTTTATATCATAATGTTTTTAAATGTTTTATTCTGTCATATTTTTCGTAGATTCTACGTACGTGCACTAACAGATTCCTACCTTGAGTTTAACGGTAGTAGTTTAGACCTGGCAGCCATTGACATACAAAGGGGGCGGGACCATGGACTTCCGGCTTACAACTCATGGCGGAGGTTCTGTTCTCTTCCAATCGCAGACAAGTTTGAAAACCTCCTCGACCACGAACCTGAAATGATACAAAAGCTTAAGGAGATATACAAGTAATGTATACTTCATGGAGTACTACCATAGAAATAGATTGTCATCCTTGCTTTATAAAGGATCAGAAATTTAATTAACAATTATTGTTTTATGTTTTGCAATGTTTTTCGAAAGTAAAACATTATGTTGCACAATGTCCTATACTTTTTTAATCCATCACTTAAAATGATAATAGAATTCTAAAAGTGAAATCATAATTCGACTGCTTTAATTGATCAAGTCTAACTACTGTAGATCACTAAATTTTCGCAACAACTTATTTTTGCGAGATAGTCAATGTCTATTTATAAGTGAGACAAAATTTTCACGAATTGTGTTATTGCTCTATATAATCTTAAGGATTACTATTATACGCGAGAATGAAATTTTTTGCGAGCTTACTGTCTGGCGTAATTACGCGAAAATAAAGTTCTCGCGAATAAATGGTGATGTAAAGTATATATTGCAATATAAAGTGTTATTTAAGTCCCTCTTACCTAACATTGAATTATTTTATTCCCTTCTACTGCATAATTTCATTCATGAGGAAACAATGTATCGACGTTGTAATTTTGATGCTTACAGATCCCCAATGGACATAGACCTTTTGACAGGGGCATTGACCGAGAGAAAGCGGATGGGAACAGAGATCGGCCCAACCTTTTCCTGCATAGTGGGACTACAATTTAGCGAACTGAAAAAGGGAGACAGGTTTTGGTTTGAAAATCCAGATCCACGAACTGGGTTCACAATCAGTACGAAAATGTTATATTATCATTCAAAATACAGAAAGAAACTTTTTCTGGTTGCACTGGGAATAATAATGAGGCATTGCCTCTGTAATTGCACACAACTTACTTCTGTGCAGATTTGTTTTTACTTTTAGGTAAATGAAACTATGAAATTAACTTTATTGGACATAACTTAAACAATGACAGAATGAAAGCCTGAACTCAAAATGTAGCGAGAATATATTGAAAAAGTCTAATAATACCGAAGCTTTTTAAAATATTATATTGATTTTATACTTAAAATGTAAAATCTCAGTAAACATCTTGTTATATAATGCAGACTACTGTACTGGTTTTAATTTACTAGATGTAACTATGTTAAAAAGCTTTAACCACATTTTAAATTCTTTTTCAAATATGTATGCATGCAAGTTGAAAGATATGAAATATACAAGATTTTTTTTTTTATCTTATAGAGCAACTGAGTGCAATCCGAAGAATGTCCTTGGCCAAAATTATGTGTAACAATTTGGATATCGAAAGAATTCAACAAAGAGTTATGTTTCTTCCATCTGAGTAAGTTAAATAAATTTAAACCAACTTTAATTCAAGTACGAGAAATATATGCGAGTTTACCTAACCCCCTTTTATTCGCAAATAAATAAGCCATTATGACTGTGCATATATTTAGAATGATTTCAGATAGATTTCAATTTATTGCGGATATATCTCTAACCGTTGAATCGCACATAAAAATTTTTGCGAAAAACAGTTGGTTTACTGTATATATTCATGTATTGTTGTTTTTGAATATTTACAAAAGAAAAACAACTGAAGCAGCCTACGAATGAAACGTTAAATTTTTAATGTTAAAATATTTTATATTTATGCACAGAGAGTTCCATCCTAGAGCCGAATGTAGTGAGATTCCTGATTTAGACTTCAGTGCTTGGCAAGATGACCCCTCCGTCACAGCAAACTGTTAAATGGGGCTTCGACTGTATATGAATTCATTCGTTGTTTGGAGTCATTACATTGAATGAAGAGAACTAAAAGTAATGGCATTTCCAATAAACACCGAACAAAGTCACAGCTGCAAGTTGAAGTACGAAAAGCAGCAGCATCATTAAAAGAAAGAAACATATGAGATATGAAAATTTTACTGAGAATTTTTTTTTGATATTTCATCACTGTAAATGATATGAGCTTTGTCAAAACAAACACATAATGTATACATTAAAAAAGAAGACTAGATCACTTGAAAAACGCGGGCAGCTAATTTATTTGGCCAAATTCTTTATAAAAATAATTTTAATAGTTGACGAAATTGAATGAAATAATATGGCAGAAGGTAGATACACAAAGCATATAAGAAGCAGTTTAAAATTCATTATTTTTTTTCTGTACTTTCATTAGTGAACTTTGCACATGTTTTACATTTTATTTAACATGTTTTCCGCACTTGTTTGTACTTTTATACTATTTATTTAGCACCTGGACAATAAATCCATTGCATAAATGTAAATGTCAGTGTTTTTATTCTTTCCTGGGAGCTTATCAAAGTCTTTCACTTTATATTACAAAAAAGAATATTTATTACACAGATGATATTTATGATGATTCAGTGGTAGTAATTACCCAGTAGGTGTTCTCTCCATACTGTATTTGTCTTTCTTTAGCTCTTATTATTAAACCTCTTGCAGAAATACATGATTATACTGATCTGTAAACTTTATACAGACAGGTATAGGTATTCCAAACAGGAGAACTACCCTTCTGATCTGTAAACTTTATACAGACAGGTATAGGTATTCCAAACAGGAGAACTACCCTTCTGATCTGTAAACTTTATACAGACAGGTATAAGTATTCCAAACAGGAGAACTACCCTTCTGATCTGTAAACTTTATACAGACAGGTATAGGTATTCCAAACACGAGAACTGCCCTTCTACCTTCAAAAAAATTGTCTGACATCTAGGGGAAGCATATCATAAAAACGAAATCCAAAACAAAAAAATCAATTTATAAATCCTTGAGTAAGAAGTTAGCTAGGGTCGTCATTTCAAGTAAATAGATTTACTCAATGATAATCAAAAGAGGAGTAACTCCTTTAGAATAATAAATATGGTTTCTTGTTTGGTTTACCGATATAAAATTGCAATTCTTAAACTTTTTCTATGCAAGATTTAAATTTTTCTTTATATCCAATTTTAGTATCCTTGATTATATTTGCAAAGAATGTGTCATATCAAAATTCTTTGAAAGCCAAGCATTGAAAATTTGGATTTCTTCACAATTTCTTAAAAATATTTTATTTTTCTATTCAAAATATTCTCACAAAACAAACAAACAAACAAACAAACAAAAACAAACAAACAAACAAAAAAACATTCAAAAGTTTCAGTAAGTCAATGTGAAAACATAATTATTTAAATTTTCTTTTTTATCATTATGATTACAAAAGTGACTTACTGCTTTCTTGGAACGATTTCTCAGATTATGAAAACTATTGTTCCTCATGAATAGAAAATATATTGTAGTCTTTTGGAGACCTTGGGATCGTAGCATAGAGGCTGTTTAAGTCTAAGACCATGCTCAAGTAGGACTTAAATACATTCTTAGATTTAAGACCGTAATTAGAAGCGTACTAAGTTTTTGACAATCTACGCAAAACTTAGGTGGCCGGTAAAACTGACTTTAGTATATCTTACATGTATTTAGAGCAATTAATTGTAAAATCATGGCATTAGAATATCCAGGCATTCATATCATGCACTAAACATACATTAAAAAAATAAATATTTAGATGTAAAATCCACCTGTGACGTCACTCTTTTGTTCGAGCGCTCCATTATTTTTCAGGAATGGAGAGCTGCAAATTGTATTGAAAATGGAATTTGTTATGTTCATATTCTCCTTCCCGTGACTCTACCGAGGAAAGAACTTAGAAAATTTTAATAAGTTTACTTTCACATAAAGAAAATAAGTGTCCCACTGTTGAGAACCGAACCCGGTACCCTCACTTTCGAAGTCGGGTACTCATTTCACTGTGCTATCGAAGCTGTTGGGTGATATAGGATTAGATTAACTTCAGTATACTTTATTCGCTTACTTTCTCTCTATACATAAATTAAATACTACTAATATGTAATGTAAATTTACAGTGAATCATATAAATATTCTTTATTATATATTAACAAACAGTAAATACAAACAAATAAAAAGGTGGATTTTACGCGGGTTAATATACTCGTAGCGCTCCATTCCTTAAAAGCAATGGGCCTCGGCCCCTTCGGGGCCTCGGCTCCATTACTTTTAAGGAATGGAGCGCTACTCGTACATTAACCCTTACGTAATACCGGTGTATGGGTTTTAGTTTGAAAAACAGATTGAATGAATATTGATGCTACTAACACTCAAGCATGTAGAATAAATCCACTGTAAGTAATGAAATATGAAGATAACAAACAGTAATCAAGCTCAAAAGTCCATTAAAACGGTGTGTTCCCCGAACGGCTACTCGCCAAAAACAACAAGTAATTATCACACTCAATTAAGGGGCCCTCTAAGGGGTACAGGTAGACTTACCTGTGTTTACCTGGATTAGCAATATTTGACAAATCAGATAAATCCATTCAATTCAAAGATTTTTGTTTATTTTTCAGAATTCTACTATATAAAAGAAAAAAAAATAGATAAAATTAAGATAAATCAGATAAATTCATTCAATTTCATTTTAATTTAGAGATTTTTTTTTTAATTTTCAAAACTCTAATGTGTAAAAGAAAAAAAAAAATCAAAACACAGAATTAAGATCCTTTGTATGATTGTACTTAAAATAAAAAAAAATTGTTGTACCTTTAATATTATTTTTTCCAAATTATTCAATAGTATTGATGGAAAATTTACATATAATTATTTATAATTATATTTTAAAAAAATCATAAATTATTTTTTACTAAAATTAAAACACACACACAAATTATCTATAAATTTCTCTATTCGAGAAGTGTTTCCGGACATCACAACCAAGGGATGTTTTTTTCACTTCACCCAGACTATTTGGCGAAAAGCTCAACAGACAGGACTACAGATCCCCTACAAAGATGACGACAACGTAAAGACCTTGGTTCGAAGAGCAGCAGTTCTTCCCCTTGTTCCCCTGGACTGTATTGAAGACGTTTGGTTCAGAGCCCTGGAAGACAGAGATGAAGCTGACCTCGCACAAGCTACAGCATCCTTCACAGACTATGTAACAGAACAGTGGGTTAACGGTAACAGACTTTTATGGAATCATTTTGGAACAGAGGGACCACGGACCAACAACAGCCTTGAAGGATGGCACAGCACGCACATCCCAACATCTTCATCGTCGTAAAGGTGTTCAAAGATATACAGAATGCTAAAGAAATTCAAAAGATTCAGAGGGAAGCCGGCGGGACCATTAGATCTCCAGCAAAAAAGTATGCAACTATAAAGAGAAGATTGCAGTTACTGAAAGAAAGGTACCAGGGTGGCATCATTGACCTTATGGCGTACGCAGACTCTGCATCTGAACTACTTCACCTAGGATAGTGATCCCTTAGTTGTGACTAAATAAATTGTAAATATTGTAAATATGTGTGGTGTGAAAGTGAAACAGTACTTTTTTTTTTACTTATAATGAAATATGAAGTTTGTTAAATAGTGCTGTTAAACAATAGAACTTCAAGACAATTTAAAGTAAAAAATCTGTTTAATTCTTAATTTTACTATGTTTTGTACTTGTAAAATTATTTATTTAAAAATTTGTACACAATATATATATCTAAACTTCTGCTAAAATAAAAAAAAAAACTTCATTACAAATCCATTTTATTTTATTTTGTTTAAAGTAACTTAAATTCTGGCAGATTACTCATACAGGTAAGTCTACCTGTACCCCTTAGAGGGCCCCTTAATTGAGTGTGATAATTACTTGTTGTTTTTGGCGAGTAGCCGTTCGGGGAATAAGCCATTAAAACAATACAAATCGGAAGCAGAGCAAACAAAGAACTCTAAAGACATCAGAGGTGGGGTCATGTGCCATGGAGGAGTGATGAAATATGAAGATAACGAACAGTATTCAATCTCGAAAGTCCAATGAAACGATACAAATTTGGAGCAGAGCAAACATGGACCTCAAAATTTAGAGGTGGGATCAAGTGCCATGGAGAAGTGAGCATCCCCTGCCGACCGGTCACACCCGCCGTGTGCTCCTTGTCATGATTGGGAAACTAAAACCGGAAAAATCCGTAGACAGTTTAATGTATAAATAATGGCCTAACATAGAAAACATCCCCTGTCGACCGGTCATATCAGCCGTGTCATCCTTGTCATGATCGAGTAAACGGAAAAATCTGTAGACAAATCAATGAGAAAATAATGGTCTAACAATTTGTATGAAAATCGTCAGTCAACATTAGACTTTACGACAGATTATATTTGTTGCCACGGTCATTGTATCGACCAAAGAATTTGCAAAAATGTAGACTTCAATCAAGACTGTTGATATACTTGTTTTATCAACCTATTTGTCAATAGCTTGCCTCGTTTCAGAAACTGCTCGTACGTATGAAATTGTTAAAGATAGATAAAACGTCGTCTATAGACATATAAATCTTGAATTGATGGCCACACCAAGAGAAGAAGTTTTTGAATAATTGTTTTTAATATGAATACCCAAATTGGTCTGCTATTAACGTGGTGCAATTAGTGCCCATGGAAATTCCGACACATTATTGGAAGATTTTATATTCAAAAACTACATAGATATTGTCAATCAGAAACTCAAGCATCTTTTCAATATTACCTTCGGAGCAATTGTGCGTACAATCAAAATGCTGTAATAAAATAATTTTGCTGATCAATGACAAGGTAAGTAAATTTATTACGACTTCCATTTTTATTGAAAAAGCAGTTGTCCATAATGTCAAAAAGTCTTAACTTAATTTGTCGTGGCGAATGGTCGTATAGAGTGTTGAAAAGTCGTACGTTTTCATGTTATGGATTTTGGCAAAGTTTTGTGATTTCAAATTTTCTAGGAGTTTCTTGGAAATTTTAAGTATGCACATCTGATTTATATACATCGCTTCTTGGATATACTAGTATCGTTGTAAAGTACTCTTAAGTTTTTTCTTCATTATTGTTAAGTTTCTAGTAAGGAGTAAAGAAAGAGGTTTCGTAGAACACTTACTGGAACCTGCTATGTACATGTATCTCTGTAAGGGTTTTTTATGTAGTTTAGATATTCAGTATAAGTATGGTAATTCAAATTCAATTTGATTGTTGGGAATATTAACCAATATTTAAAAATATTGTATGTTTAAAAATATTAAACAACATTTAAAAATATTGTATGTTTGACTTTCCTTCCTAGAAAAAATTGTGCAAAAGAATGGTAAGTTTGTATGTTTACTTGAAAATGTGAGAAAGAAAAGGAAATTAAACAACAGAAAAATTAGAGGAGGATGACTAGAAACCTAAAGAGGAGGGTTTGCGAATTAGATA